CAAAGATGTTAAAAATTAATCATTTAATGACTTTTAATGACCCGTGGAAACCCTGTTCACAGAAATATGAGTGAATCAGCATTGAAATACAGTCAGACAGAAACCCTCAGTCCAGTCCAGTGAAGTCAGACTAAGCAGAAGAGATTGAAAATGGCCGCCAGCTGCATGCTGGCGGGTTAGCTACCTGTGTGGTTGATAGGAGGTCGCCGCAGTCCAAAGCATAGATAATGAGAGCTTGAACGAGGAGAATGAACTGGTTGAACTGCCAGGTCAGACAGAAACAGAAGGTCGTCACAAACATCAGCCACACCGTCACCTTCTGAGGACAGGAAGCACAGAAACGCTCAGACCGCTGGGTTCAGGTGCAACAGATCTGCTCCGAGCTGACAGTGTACCTGCTGTAAGGCGCTGAGCTGAGGCCTGAGGTAACAGGTGATGGCGGCCACCTGCAGAGCGAAGAAAGGCAGAGACCAGTTCTCCCTGAGGGAGATGGTGAACTCCACCCGAGTGGTATCTACCCTGGAAGGAGGAGCAAAAGGTCAATGATCAACTTTAAACATTTAAGCTCGGTCCTCTTTGCGCCACCAGTGGAACCATTCCCTAAATAAATTATTAAAGCTCAGCTGTTCTCAGCTGTATGTCACAAAATGCAGTCCTGATTGATTAACAGAAAACAGCGGCTTCAGCACCACCTGCAGCTCCACCTGCAACACCACCTGCGGCTTTAGCCTGAACGCACGGTTCACATTATGTCACCTCGCGTCCTCGACATGGCTTCCCTCCTGAAAATGCCGCTACATGATAAAAAAAGCTAAACCACTGATTTCGCTTCTTTCGAGTTCAGTTTGAACGTGGCACCATCTGCAGCTCTACCTGTGTCACCACCCGTGGCTTCACCTGTGCCTCCACCTATGGCAACACCAACGGCATGTGAGAGCTGTTTCACATCCTCCGCACGTCACCGTCCACGTACGTTCCCGTCTTGTCATGGATAAAATATAGAGCCAAGCTATTTTTTGCTCCGATCCGGCAAGGTCCAGATCCGCAGTTGCAATCACAGCAAACAGGAAAAAGAACATCAAGAAAATCCCGTTTGTCAAATTAAGATATGGTAACGACAGACCATTATCGACAAATTAGAGCCATCCATCCATCCATCTATTTTTTGACATGCTTCATCCCAAGTGGGGTCATGAGGGATGCTGGTGCCTATCTCCAGCTGTCTACAGGCGAGAGGCGGGGTCCACCCTGGACAGGTCACCAGTCCATCGCAGGACAGCACAGAGACAACCATTCACACACACTCACACCTAAGGAGAATTTTAGAGCAGCCAATTAACCTAACAGTCATGATTATGGACTGTGGGAGGAAGCCGGAGTACCTGGAGAGAACCCATGCATGCTCAGAAAGACCTCGGGCCGGGAATCGAACCCGGAACCTTCTTGCTGCTACCCACTGCTCCACTAAGCAGCCCACAAATCATAGCAAAATACTTACATATTCCCCTGAAACTAAGACAGTTTAATTAAATGATTGTAAGCAAACTATTGGTACTTCAACAAACCAGGAAGCAGACTTCTCATCTCAATCAAAATATTTATTTTATACTGAGCGGCTTAAAACTTTAATCAAATCCAGTCACAACTTCTAAGCGCACAAAACAAACTTCTTGTTACAGGCATGGATGAAGAGATGCTGAGTTTAAACTTCAGTGTTTAAGTTAAGCAGGTAAAAATGTCCCCAAAATAAGTGGTAGAGTCTGAAGTAAATTAAGGACGTTAACAAATAGTCGACTAACAATTAATTGTTAATGGTTCCATTGGATTAATTAATAATGTCTGCTTTATAGGAATTTATTTCAACGTAATGTTTCTGCCTTCCACTAGAGGGCGCCACTGTTCATCCTAAAGCAGAGCCTCACTGGGATTTGCAGAAGTAAACTGGATCCATGGTGGAGCAGAACCATGAATGGATCCAGAATCCGGTCTGGATTATTTCCACTAACGGATCCAAGGATCCAGAATTCTGCGGTTCTGGTAGTAAATCTAAACTCTGGATAAACTCCTTCAGTTCTCCTAAATGGGCCCATTTAGCGGCGCTGCAGAACTTCTCTGCTGGGATCAGAAGGACAGGATGATGGGAAGTTTGGAGGACATTACACTAAACGTTGGAACCACGGATCTCTATTTATCACTGGATCACTGATTTCCCGAGAAAAGTGAAGCCACCAGCCGCCATGTCGGTACTCCCCACTCCCACAGAGACACACAGTAAAAACGCCTACATGTAGCATTAGGCTGCAAAAACAAGCTTTTTGCTGCTGCAGGAAGGACGCTCCTCAGATAAATTAACAGTCAGTGGATGAACTAACCAAGAAAATCCATCAATACACCGACGGATCCTATAGTATAGTATGTAGCGTAACGTTAGTCTGGCGATCTCGGACTGACTGGAAGATATTGACTAAATTAGCCTTTGACATTGAATCTAACATTAGAAAATAGAAAGTAGAGTAAATACAAAGAAACTGTAAAATGTCAGAGTAGTAATTCTTTATTAAGTGCATGAAGCTGTCGTTTGTTTTTTCTCATTTGAAAAAGTCGTGCTGAATATATTGCTTGTTATATTAATGGGAAAAAGGCTGATGCACAGACACAGCATAAAGGTATATGGCATCATGCAGGCATAATTTGCAAATAATACTACAGAATTAACAGACATGCACATGTAATTCAGTCTTGATGTAAAATCTTGATATCATATGTATTATTTAATTACCATAACAATGTAATACATACATCTATATTACATGACAATGACAATTGGCACAATCGTATTATTATGCTCCATTAACACATTCATTTTGTTGTGACGGATTTCTATAATATGTTATATTACATGATTTATAGACTTCATTGACTTCATAATAACTATGTAATGTGATTGGCCTATTTTTATTTTAAGTTAAAGTTAATCTACTGATGCTATGAAACAGCCAGTGTGTGTCAAAGTGATCCCCTGAAAATGAGAACATCATCATTATTGGATGCTGTAGCGCACGGATTGTTTACATTGCAACCGGTCTTATTAGGGAGTACCAATATGGCGGCTGGTTGCTTCATTTCATCCCCGTACTACCAAAAGGCAATCTGCAAAATCCAGAGATTAAATAGAGATCAGTGGTTAGCAACATGATAGAAGAAGACATGTTAGCAGTTAGCATGGTAGCTGGAGAAGCTTTATGAGGTCATGACCTTTATGGAGGCAGGTTCTAACATTCCTCTGAAAGGAACCACCTGTTTAAAGCTCTGCTAACAGAACAACGTCTCTCCCTGAACTGATTGATGGATTAGACTAAAACACAGAGCTAGCTCGCAGTTAGCATCTGCTTCACTGAAACAAAGGTTAATAATCTATAATCTAGAGCCTAGTAGCTAGATGTAGCCAATTATTGGCCACCCCTACCATTTATTTCGCTCTCTAATACAGATGGTGGCAGCAGTAATACTCTCCAGGGGAAAATTCAAACTTATTAAACATTTTAATTTCTCATATATTAACAGTTACTTAACAACTAAAACACTGTGGTTAATTATAAACATCAATATACTAACATTAAAGATGATAAATACAGAATTCCTCCTCTATTGAGAATTAAATTTTGTGTTTTATGGGGTAAAGAGAAAATGATGCGTCTCTGTAGGTCTTCTAGGAGTCTTCAATGAAATCATAGATAAATAACTATTTTTAAAATAACTTAAAAATCCATTTCATGTAGATATTAGTACGTGTAAATATTGGTTTTATGCAGAACAATGTTTGATAAACGTAGGAAGGCAATGACAATGGAAGAGATGTCCCCCCCCAGAAATTTTGTCCACTATACCTTTAATTTAGACAGCTTAGATGTTTAAATAAATACGTCTATTAGTTAGCAAAGGCTGCAGGAAAGTATAATTTGTCTTTATTTAGAAATAATGAATGCTGTGCTCCTTCCCGTTGGAACAGCTTAGATTGACCCTGAGGTTTTGGCACCGTCACTACCCGATCCATCCAGCGCATGCACGAACAGATAAACATCCAGGTTTCCATAAATAATGTCATTATGGTACTAAATTACCTTATTTCTTTACTAAACTCACTATATAATGCTAATACACATTTTTAAAAATAGATTTCTGACACATTTTTGATGCTTTTTACAATTTCTCTCTTAAACTGCTTCTCTGCCGTCATCATCAGGCATCAGAGCAGTCCAGAAAAATATGATTAATGTTTATCTGCATTTTAGCTGTTTCTCTCTTTAGATAACACATTAAATACCATAATGTTAACACGAAAGGAAAACATAGAAATCAAAAAGACCAGATTCATGTTTCAATCCAAAGCCGAAGGATCCCATTTCTGGTGCAGATCGGGAAGAGAGTGATAAAACAGAAAGGATTTTAATGATTTTATTTTCTCAGGAAATACATTGTTAACCTTTAACACATTTTAGTTTAGAACATTTACTATATTTGGGGAGGGAAAAAAGTAATTTAGTTATTTTTAACAAAATAAAATCGAAGGCGATCTGGATGCGCTAATGAGCTGATGGCGCCTGCGCAGAACGGATCGCGCTGACAGGACGGATCGGATGGTGAAACGCGCCTATCCGCTTTCGGCCAACCCTCAGTGTACATCGGTTATCGAATGGCCACCCCTATTCAAATTTTCTGGCTACGCCTCTGGTAAGAGCAACATACCCTCTCTATTAATGATAGATCTACATGTACACTGGTAGTCAGATGTGTTTCACTGGTTTTATTCGTTTTTTTAATCAGTAACCTGACAGGTTCCAGGTTTTTTTTTTTTTATATTTTCCATTTATTCAGTCTGCATCCATTACAGCTGGAACAATATATACATAAAATCTAATGATGGACTTTTTATTAGAATTCAGCAAATTAATCCTACATGTTATGGAAACATGAAAAGAAAATGGCTGCCTATCAATGAGTTGGATTATTGAGAAGATCGATTTATTTATATCAGATTTAGAATGATTAATTAATCAATAACTTACATCTCTTGTATAACTATTTCTATAATTCTCTTTGTGCTGCTGAACCACTTCCAGGTCATTTGAGTTCTATCAGAGGACAAACACCCAGAGCCCCCTTCCCCCCACCCTGTTCTTACTCACCTATTAAGAATGTACCAGACTCCAGTCAGCGTACCGGCGAGCCAGGAACCAGACAGGAGCCACGCTGTGAGGTACAGAGCTATCACATAGACTGCTTGGAGCGAAAACACTGTGTAAATGTAGAAATACACCGGCTCCAGATACGCCTGGACCACACACACACAGAAAAAGGCTTATTAGACATGGCTCTGTGAATAAGACAGGAAAACTGCTGAGATTCAGTCCTAAAAGTTTCATGACTAAAACCCAATGAATGTTCCTGCTAAAGTAGCCTTTTCTCAGTCGTACTGCACTGAGTGGCCTCTAGAGGGAGCAGATCTCACCTGTAGGGGAAGCAGCCTGTAGAGAACGCTGAGGAACACCTCTTGGTAGATGTTCATCCGCTGGAGGAGATTAATGGTCCTCCTGGACTCTGTCAAGTTATCCTGGATCAGTTCTGACAGCCCTGAAAGACAAACAGTGAGGAGGCTGCTATAGATACGCTGCTATAGAATTTCTAGAAGTAGAATGGGATGCAGATCTTTTAGTTATCAGGCTCCTCTCCTGTGGAACCAACTACCAGTTTTAGTCCATGAGGCAGACACCCTGTCTACTTTTAAGGCTAGGCTTAAAACTTTCCTTTTGATAAAGCTTATAGTTAGAGTGGCTCAGGTTATCCTGAGCTATCTCTATAGTTATGCTGCTATAGGCTTAGACTGCTGGAGGACATAGGGACCCCTTTTTTCATCATTCTGCTTCATTCTATCTCTATTCTCCCACTCTGCAGAATCTGTTAGTTCAAACTGTAACGTTATGCTCTCTCTGCTTTTTCTCATAGTAGCTTTGCCTCGTCTGTTCCTGTTTGGCTGTGACTCCATCCTGAAGAGAAATATCAGCTGTGCTGCTGCCATCAACACCTTTGTTTATAGATGTTGGAGATCGGCCTGTTTTTCAGTGGAGTCCTGTTTCTCTGACTGTGACTGGCTGGTTGTGCTCTCTTCATCCTCTGACATGGGAGCTGGCTCGGAGCTCGTCTGCCTGACTGTGCTTTTACAGCTGCTTTTTGTATCTCTGCTTCTGTCTCCTTGAACCCCAGTCAACCTCAGCAGATGGCCGCTCACACTGAGCCTGGTTCTGCTGGAGGTCTCCTTCTGTTAAAAATTACTTTTTCCTCTCCACTGTCGCTACAAACATGCTTAGTGTGAGGGATTGCATTCGAGTCAATGGGTCGATGCAATCAACTGGTTTTCCTTAGATAGAAACCTTTAAATCAATCTGACTGGATGATCTGGTTGAACTGTAAAGTGGGAGGGGGGCCCATAAACCCCCCAGCAGAAGGTTTATGGGTCAGTTCCTCCTTATGTGCAGCGCTGAATGTGTTCAGGACGAAAAATTATCAGACCTGCTGGTTTTAGTTTCAAATCTGCTTCTCATCAGTCAGAGCAGGAAGCTAACTTCACTTCAGCTTCAATCTCCAGATTACCGCTGGAAGGTCGAACCAAAGGTAACCCCCACCACCACCACCACCCCCTTTGAATGCATGCAACAATGACCCAAAGTGACGACGTCTCCGTTTATCGTTTATTCACAGCGTTTACCAAGAAGCTCCAGACTGAGCCCAGATGTTCTGCAGCAAGATGGTGAGCTGGAAGACGTGATGAGTTCAAAGGCTGTCAGCAATTAGAGAACTGTGACGTCCTAGTCGAATATCTTCCAAGGGACGGCGTGTCACTGATTCGTTTTTATAATAATAATAATAATAATCAAACTTTTTTTGATCTTACATTGGAGAAAGTGACAGATAGCATGGTGATAGCAAGGAGAGCTAATGTTAGCACGCTGATGCAGAGCTAAATTTCTCCAGTGTGAGATTAATTAAGTGAAATTATCATTATTAGATAAGGAGATTAAGAGATTAACTGTCAGGTCGTCAGATGAAGTTCTTATAGTTTATTCCAGCTGTTCATCAATGAGGATACAGGAGAATAAACCAGAGAGGATACAGAGGAGGGGAGATGGCGCTGAGCGTACCTTCCTGTATGGATGGAGCCTGCAGCATCTGTTTGTAGTAGGAGTAGTAGAGTCCACACTCCGTCCGGAAGGAGATCTCCCGCTCCACTTCCTGAAAGCAGAAGGGCCAACATAGTGATATCAATCTAAGCTCTTGGTTCTGGATGATGTGGAAAACAGATTTTCTCTCTGTTGAGATGAGAAAGAAGCGAGGAGGACAGAAGGAAGGCGGCTGATCCTCAGAGGCAGCAATCAGAGAGTGAAGCAGCCACCCCAGGATTACCGTCCCCCTGCAGCGGGAGAGGAGGAGGCTCCGGATTTACGACATCCAGCCGGTTTCTGCTACTCTCACTGGGGAAATACCTTCGATCTGTGTTTGATCAGCAGAGAAATGAAAATCTCAGCTTTAGGTAAAGAGTTGGGCTTCATCCAGAGCCCTTCACAAACCAAGCATACAATAACTCAATAAAAAGCCTGGGTTTTGAACAGGGCAGCTCTCTGTTTAATGGATCAGAACCAGAACACAGAGGGAGACCGGGTCACTCAGGTTTCATTCCCACAGCTCAGTTCTTTGCCCATATGTGAGCTGAATTTGAAGCCTTTATTTTCAACACTGTGAAAATATTATGCTGCTAATTAGGGCTGCAACAACGAATCGATAAAATCGATAAAAATCGATTTTTAAAAGCGTTGGCAACGAATTTCATCATCGATTAGTTGTGTCGCGCGATTAATGCGTCATCCGCCACCGTCGGCAGCCGCCCCGTTCTCCCGCTCCCGCAGGAGTCCTTCTCAGCGCTGCAGTCAGAGCCGCAGGATGTTTACCCTCAGCGTCCAGACTGCAAATGAAGCGCGCATGCGCCGGCGCAAATTGATCACAATAATTAAAACAGCCTGCGCTTTTTAAAGTGAAAAAAGTCGTAACATGCAACTTTTGTAAAAACAAATTAACATAACACAGAAGCATCACTGTTATGATGCAGCACCTGAAAAGAAAACACGTTGGAGCCTTCGACGGCAGTGAAGAGAGCTGATCAGCAGGATGAGTGACCATGTTTGTTTCGTTTTAAAGTGGGGAAACGTAACGTTAGTTTCTCAGGTAGCTCATCCTTGAACCCCAGTAGGCCTCAGCAGATGGCCGCTCACACTGAGTCTGGTTCTACTAGAGGTTTCTTCCTGTTAAAAGGGAGTTCTTCCTCTCCACTTTCACTACAAGCATGCTTAGTGTGAGGGATTGCCTTCGAGTCAATGAGTCGATGCATTCAACTGGTTTTCCTTAAATTGAAAACTTTGAATTAATCTGACTGGATGATCTGGTTGAACTGTAAAATGCCTTAAGATGACATTTGTTGTGAATTGGCGCTATAGAAATAAACTGAATTGAATGTAAATTGTCTATAAACCAAACCGAACGATTGTTGTTCTCTACTTCAAAAAACACTTTAGACTTTAAAATGGAAAATGTTTTTTTTTATGTGAAACATCAACGTACGCTATAACATGAACGCACACCTAATTTTATTTCAGTTTTAAATTCTGTTTAAAGTAACAGATTATAATTTAAAATTACCTTTACTGGTTGACGTTTTTTTTTATTCGGACCCCGCTGGGTTTTAATTGGTTACCTCTGATCTAGTGGTTAGAGCAGTTCGCTCTGAGAAGTTTGCAGAAACCAGTTCGATCCCCACAGACTCCCACCCTGGGTCCCTGAGCAAGACCCTTAATCCCACACTGCTCCCCGGGCGCCACACGATGGCAGCCCACTGCTCCCCACAGGGATGGGTCAAATGCTGAGATCAATTAAGTTCAGTTATTATTATTATTTTGAGGGACACTAAAGTTGTGTGAATTCAGTTCATTTATTTGGAAATGTGAACGACAGATCGGGTTTAAGTTTATTTATTCATTAATAAACTGTTTCAGAGGACTGATCATAGCGCTCTGCATCATCAGCAGCGCTGTGTCCGTCTCCCTGCCAGCTCTCAGATCAGCTTCTCTGATTGGCTGATGCGACGCCTCCAGCAGCTAAAGTTACATTTTCCATCAGCAGCTGCTGCTCACCTACCCCCCCACACACAGCCAAATTTGAAAACTGAATGAAATGAAAACTAATTTGCATAAAAATAAAACTTAATATTTGTAATTTTCTTCAGATGTCCCTTTTTAGGACATCTTTCCGTAATCCTGGACAGATTTCTCTGCATACAGCTGAGCAGCAGCTCGGCTAACGAGGTCCAGGAATCCAGCTGGGAGCTGAGAGGTGCGCCAGCTGTCTGTGAACTTCATCACTGACTGAACCCTGCTAGCTCTGGATGCTATGGATCACACAGGAGAGCTGGAGCACGATGCGCCTCCTACCGTGAGCTGAGAGAACCACAGCAGATTCTCATGGATGGCGTTGACACACCAGGCCTGAGCCACGGCCAGCAGCCCCGCAACAAGCAGCCCCGCCGCTATGGAAACCAGCTGTTGCCAAGGCCGCCGCAGCAGAGAGCTTGAAGCGGATAAAGAACCGGATGGTCGTCGGATCCTCGCTGGCTCCGTCCTGCTACTGCTGCGGCTCTCTGCAGGGCTCACTTTCCATCTCCTCCGGAGATCCATCATAAAAAAAAAGAGATTGTTCCTAAATCCCGGGAAGTTTTCAGGAGCTGAATCCAAGCAAATCCACACAGTGCTGATCCAGATCCATTGCAGGGAGAAACACTGCTGGTTTACTTCAAGTCCCTCCAGATAAATGACAGAAAGCTTTTTAAATCAGTTCCTTGCCAGAGGGAATGAGGAGCGACTTTCCTTCCCAATCCTCTTTGGAGTCAGCTGAAGACAAAACAAGCCCTGGCTTTGCACCAGAATCTGAGGGATACGGATAATCCTGGGTTTATGTTCAGGAGAGTCCGCTCCGTGCGAAAGCTCTCTGTCCCCTGGATGGAATAACTTCTATCTGGGATGGGACGCCTGGACAATCCATGGATGAGGAAATTCCTGAATGGAGCGCTGCCTCCGTTTTCCCGGCGTCATGTTGAAGATAAAACAGAAAGCTGAAAGGAAAACGAATTAGGAAACACAAAGACCGAGCCCCAGAGTGTGAACAAGAGGACAGCCTGTGGACAACTGCAGCAGTCGGGGGGAGAGGGAAATAAAGACGGAGAGGACTACCGCTGACCTCTTGTCTATAAAAACACACACGCATACAGGCTCAGGAGGAGATGAGACGAGGATTGGGAGGAACATGTTGGAACGTTGTTTGGAAAACTGGGTGAACGTTTGTCGGAGGATTTGTGGCCCAGGAAATGGTGAGAAGCTATGAGCGCCGGCTCCAAATAAACCCCGCATGGACATGAGCTCACACCTGATGAATTCAGGAGGACAAGCTGAGCCAGCTGAGCTCCACAGAGGGAGATAATCAGCAGCGTCCAACATTATCGGAGCGTCAGGATCAAGCCTTTAGCTGGGAATATTTCATACCGTATCACATCTTTAGGCTTTGCCTATGGTTTGATTTACCATCAGGAAATACTAGGCAGTTACCCAGGGCCCATAAAAACTCTGTTTACACGTGTGGTTAATACAACTATTCCTTATCTGTGGACCTTAATAAGGAATATTAACCTCACCCCTCAATGTCCCCCACATTGGATCAGTCCATTTATGAAAGGTCCAAGCAGACAGCTTGGACCTTTCATAAATGGAAACAAACAACGTGAAAAGCAGTGTTGCCAACTTAGTGCTTTAGTCGATATATTTAATGACTTTTCAGACTTTAGCAGTTTGATTTCAAAAAAGCTCCTAGCGCCAAATCTAGCGACTTTTTTCTGCTACTGGAGACTTTGGCGACAACATCTAAAAGCAGCGAACTCTGCTCTCCAGAGCAAGAAGATTGGTAACCCCGCCTCCTGCTCTCCTCTATCTTGTCTGCTGTCATGATTCATGCAGCTATTATTTCATCCAAATGAAAAATGGAGAACAGATAAGCAGATCATGGCTTGTCTACAGTGAAAAGAAGGACTGGGTTATTTACTTTTGCCATTTTGGAAACACAGGAAGGAGCAATCAGCTAAATGAGCTTAGTGCTTGGAAAAAATCTTTCATTCTTTTAGAGACAGCATGAAAAGTCAGCTGAGGACAAAACATAGAGAGGAAAACAAGAAGAAAAGGGACAAAACCCCTTTGAATTTAAAAGACAAAACCTAGTGTTGTCTTTTAAATTCAAAGGGCCCCCTGCCTGTCTCTGCCTAGGGCCCCAAATGTCCTAAATACACTCCTGGTCTGGGTGTTTCCTGGAAAATATTGAAATTTAGACTCTCTGAAATGCTATTTCCTGCATGTTGAGGTTGAATGCAGCTAACATGCACTACCTTTTGTCCCGATTATGGTGTATGTGTGCTTGACTAGAGGAAGAAATTTCAACATTTTCTGCACAAAAGCTAAAGATGTGATAAACCAAGCTGTACACCCTACGAAGCATCCTACCTAAAGCACCTGTCCCACCTTGATGATTTAGAAAGCACACGCCTCACATACGAAAAATGCCAGCATACGGTGGATAAGCTATCGGTGCATTTTAAATAAGTCAGAGTTAACCAATTAAAAACCAGCTGGAGTGTTTTTTGAAGTAGAGAACAATAATCGTTCAGTTTGGTATAATAATAAAGGAAAAGTCCGCTCATATTCAGAATTCAAACTTCTGAAAGTTCTTTAAATATGAAATTATTACTGTTCAATGAATGATCAGCGTTTTTAATTAAGAGTAATTTTCATTAGAATGTGCTTTACTGGAGGCATCCATGTTGGTCAAAGAACACTACCGCCACCTACTGGTTGGTGACGTCACGGTGCGTTATTGTGGATGGTGAAAATTTAAATGTTTTTATATTTATTGAGAAAATCATTTGAGTGTTT